ATATCGGGATATATCGTATCGTGACCCCTCTGTTATGATATGTATCGTATCGCCTAATTATTGCCAATACACAGCCCTATTAGTGTAATTGGTAACTCTAGGTGAGACTAAGTATGAATGGTTGTCTAGTTTCTCTGTCTCTCTATACCTCTCTACTCTTATGACCACACCAGCTTCCTGCTACCCTGCAAGGAATTTAAAAAAAAGATGAATGGATGGGTTTCTGACTGCAGACAAGTTTTCTGAACAGTTCTGCAGACATGATTTATAATTTTAACAAGATTTATAAATGATCCTAATGTTTTAGTTGGTCTGGTTCATAACCTGACTGCAGCTCCTGAGTCCTGACTTCTTTAGTCCTTGTTTTTCTCGACTAAAGCTGCTGTTTCAGGAGTCAAAATGAAAACGAGAGCACCAAATACAGGGTTGGGCACTATTTCTGAGCTAGTGCTTAAACCCTGTCTGTGTTTTTATTGATTTAAATTATTAGAAACTCTAAATCTTATCCTGTAATACTTGCAGATCAAGAAAAAGTCTTTGAATAAATCTATTAGGAAGATGTTTAACATGCCCACATGTTGACATATGTATGGGAACAGGTTTAGGTTCAAATATTTGCAGAGACCCACAGATTTTTAACTGACAAAGAAAAATCTAAATCGTAACCCTTTTGAGGTGGTGGTTTTTTTTTTTTTTTTTTTTTGTTGCTTCCCTAGTTTTTCCTTTATTTTGATTTTTAAAACAAGATTTGACCAATTACAGGGTTCCCGCGGATCCTAAAAATGTCTTAAAAGGCCTTAAATTCATCAATCCAAAAATAAGGCCTTAATTAGCCTTAAAAGGTCTTAAATCAATCTTCAGAGGTCTTAAAAATGTTAACACATTGTAAGTAGGATTATTCGTATCAAACATTAAAATATTTGGTAACATTTATTAATTTTTGAAATATTCCCATTCAGATGTTCCCTTTTGACACCACTTCCTGTTATTTCACATGCAAATATCTCAACAATCATCCATCTGAGAAATGTGAAATTTATTTTCTAATATGTTAATAATGTTGTCTTTCCAAAAACGCATTCATATTTCTTACAAAAATTTGAAGGTTTCATCTACAGCAAGCTGGAGTTCACTGTGGGTCCTAAAACTCCAAGTTTTGGGTCGATAAAGGATTTCTAGGAATTAAATTAAGTTTAAAACTGACTGCTAAGAATGTTTTTTTTGCTATATTTGACAAAATAGCACTTAAATATGGATAAAAGCAATTGGTCTATTAGCAATATTTGAATACTTCAACCACAAATAATTTGATTTATGAGTTTCTGTCACAGTTTTAGTTTTTTGTGTTTATTGTGAAATTGGTCTTAAATTTGATTTCACTTGACATTAAAAAGTTTTAAATTTAATTTGCCTTAAACTGTAGGAAGCCTGAATTATAAATTCATAAACAAAGCCTTTTTGTCGAACAGGGAATGGATGATGTCCAGGTGCGTGGGGCAGCCACAGATATATTCTCTTATCTAGTGGAGTACAACCCCTCCATGGTACGAGAGTTTGTCATGCAGGAATCTCAGCAAAACGATGACGTGAGTTTTTAATTTTCACATGAATTTTAAAATGTTTATTTTTAGTATGAAGGTGTGTATAAATGTGAGTTTCTCTGCCTTTCAGGATATTCTCCTCATCAACCTGATCATAGAACACATGATCTGTGATACAGACCCAGAGCTTGGTGGAGCAGTGCAGCTAATGGGCTTGCTACGGACTCTGTTGGATCCTGAGAACATGTTGGCTACTGCAAATGTGAGTTTACACACTCCAGTGTGTAACAGTTAATTTTACTACATAACAGACTTCAGGTTTAATCAGAGCGTTTTAAATTGTGCTTCCTTTATTCTTGTGTTTTTATGACATAGTTTGATGGTAGAGGATGTAATGAAGGAAAAAGATGAAATAATTTGAGCTTGAGTCCACAAACTATGAAGAAAAATCTGATCAGATTATTATTGTGTGAAGGAGTTATTATGCAAATAGTTACAGTAAATCTTTCCTGCACTTTTCACCTTTTTTTCTGTTTTTTTTTTACCTCTTTGTACTAATTCTAGCTTCYTTCAGCTCTTTTTCTTATATATTAGTTTTTTTTTCCTGCTTTTTGAGCTATCTTTTTGCTTTTTCCAGTTCTGCTAATCTATCAGCTTCTTTCTACTAATTTAAGCTTTCTCTGCTTCTTTCAGTTGTTTTCTGCAATTTAAGCTCATTTGTAGCTATTGTTTTTTTAGCTAAAGTCCCAATTTTGTGATAATTTTAGCCACTTCTTTCAGCTGCTTAATTTAGCAGACATGCACTTTCTGCTTCTTTGTGCAAGATTCAGCTACATTTTAGCTACTTTTCTTCCAGTTTTAGTTTTTTGTGCTATTTTTCAACAAATTGCTAAATTTTAGTACATCTTTTTTTTTCCTGCAAGTCTTTCAACATTAAGCATTCATGCTGCATTTTCCCTACTTAGACTATAGATTCTGTAATAGAAACGGGAATAAACACTCGCTCTGGCTACATTTTCCTGTTAATCCAGAACACATTAATTCAAGAAAGGTAATCCGTTCTGCCAGTTCAACAGGTTGGATCACTAAACCGGCTAACTGGCACATATTTTTGTCAAAGTTTTCTAAGAGTTGTCTCACTAAAGTACCGGTACACTAAAAGCAGCTGACAGTGGGTTTGAGTAAATCTATAGAACTGGAACTTTTTGTGTTGGAAATGCTTAAACAGAACTTTTAAAGAGTATTTATAGAAGTACTTGTTAAAATAAGTGTGGCATCCTTGCAGACCCTCATATAGGGGTACCGTTAAAGACTGCATTCTGGGAGCTCATTTCCACGTCTTATTCACAGCCTGTAAAGTTAAGACTTGATGAGTTTCTTTAAGGTTTGCTTGTCTGGGTCAGAAAAGCTGTTCTTTTAAGGTGTTGATCGTTAGAAAACTCCTGGAAAATCTGTTCTTTTTTTTCTCTGCAGAAAACAGAAAAGACAGAGTTCTTAAGCTTTTTCTACAAGCACTGTATGCATGTCCTGTCAGCTCCACTATTAGCCAACACCACAGAAGAAAAGCCCAGCAAAGGTACTGTATATGTTTGAGCTTTTTTTTATTTTATTTAACTCTTTATAGTGTTTGTATTTTACTCAGTAAGTTTCCTCTCATCTGTAGACGATTTTCAAACAGCCCAGTTGCTCGCCCTGATTTTGGAGCTGCTAACGTTTTGTGTTGAGCATCACACGTATCACATCAAGAACTACATCATCAACAAAGATATTCTCAGGAGGGTACTGGTTCTCACTGCCTCTCAACACGCCTTCCTGGCACTATGTAAGATATAACACGGCCTTTTACACGTATTCACTTATGTTTGTTGGAACATGAAGGAAGGCGGGCCTGTATTTCTTCTTGCACAGGTGCCCTGCGCTTCATGAGAAGGATTATTGGTTTGAAAGATGAATTCTACAATCGCTACATAATGAGAAACTTCCTCTTTGAGCCAGTCGTCAAGGCCTTTCGAGATAATGGCTCACGCTACAATCTCATGAACTCGGCCATCATTGAGATGTTTGAATATATCCGTGTGGTGAGTTTTCCTGATGCCCTTTATCCATTCTTTATTACTCTTTTTGCAAGAAGGGGAATAATAAGATGCACTGATTCTCTTTTCATATTTCCTTTTTTTTCTCTCGTGTGTCAATTCCTTGTTTTTGCTTCCTATTACTCACCCAGGAGGACATTAAGTCCCTCACAGCTCACATAGTGGAGAACTACTGGAAGTCTCTGGAGGATGTGGATTATGTCCAGACGTTCAAAGGCCTAAAGCTGAGATATGAGCAGCAGCGAGAGCGGCAAGACAACCCTAAGCTAGATAGGTGAGAAAATCAAGCTGCTGCACTGATGCTAATTGATTTAACTGCCTTTTTTTGTTAAAATTGTTTATTCATTTCATTTAAAACCAAAAATTTATACACATTAAAAACAAGATATACACAACATATATACACAACAAAAATATAAAAAAGAAAAAATATTGTATGTCTTCTGGACGGGTTCTTCTCTAATGAAACGTTTCGTCTCTCCTCCAAGAGACTTCTTCAGTCTGA